CACACACACACACACACACACACACACACACACACACACACACACACACACACAGGAAGAGAATAAAAAAAAGGGGAAAAGTGTGACATTAAAGGGTTAAAGAGAAAAGAATGTTGGTTGACTCAAGAGGAAGTGTCACAGTTAGCATTGGATAAAATGAGGGATTTTTCTCACATGTCGCATGCGGAGCAGTGATGACACCGGTCGGGCTTGATCACCTGACAGCGGTCACAATAGCGGATCGCTGCAACACAACGGGATCTCGTTATGGGGAAAGGTTCCCACACACACACGCTCACTTACAACGTTCACATTTGAGACGCGCGGACGTACCTCCGGCTCCGGTGCGGGTGTACATAGGCAGACTGGTGGCGGCTCTCCACAGGATCTCTTGCTGGGACTCTGGCCTCTCCTCCTTCTCGTAGCGCTCCTTCTCAACTTTGGCCAGGCAGAACTAGGGTGGAGAAAAGCAGATTTGAATGTCAACAGGGGATTATAGAGATGCAGAGTGTTGTTTTTTTAATTATTTGGTTAGAATTAGGTTATTGTACCTCTTTGGAGGGGTTGGCAGGCTGGCTGAAAATGGTCTTCCAGTAAGACCATACAAACATGACGAAAGAGAGGTGGAAGAAGATCAGGTAGACAACTGGAGGGGAAGCATTATTAAGCAGAGCGTCAGTGACATTGAACAGTTGATATCAGGAACTGCTGCCGTCACTTGGTGTGCAGAGAAAGAGCTAACTGGCTCAGCTCTGTTCATTCACACTCACAATGGATTTAAAGAACATTATTTTTGATTCATCGAGACACTCACTCTGCTCTCCTATATTGGGGATGGTGACTGAAAGAGAGAAAACAGAGACAAGTAAAGCGTTAGATACAAAGACATCGTCACCTAAACAGTGACTGTTATATAGCAGCATAAACAACAGTGGTTATACATCAGTCACAAAATGCTTAAAAGGGATAAGAAAGATGTATTTTACTACTCTTCTCTCGTTGTCAATAAGAATCTCCTCAGAATGGTGCATTCAGTGGCTGTTCTGAAGCGTTCGGTCAAAACACACAACCTCTGTCCCCATGTTGTCTTATGATTTCTATTTATCTGAGCATCTTAACGACTTCTAGTTCACATAATGACGGGATTGTTTTGTCAACTACCGTTTCCTGGATCTGAGCTTTCAGTCTCAAATCTCGGGTTCACATTGGAGAGAAAAAAGTCCTTTAAAATCAGAAACTGATGAACTCAATCTGCTGAGGGAAAACTAACTCTCACTATAAACATCTGTGCACCAGAAAAGTGAGGATCAAACATACATATGGCCTCATTTTAAAGGAGCCACGAGCCCCAAAAAAAAAAAAAAAGTTAGGAGCCACGAATGTAGTTTTCACCAAGTCTGTGTGAGTGCTTGAAGGTGTGACAAAAGCAGACCCTGACACTACAATAATCCTGATATGAGGAAATACTCTATACATTACATCATCCACAGTGACCACTTATCAAATTAATTCTGTTCTTCCGATTACAAATACTGTTCCAACATGAGCTAAATAAACAAAAAAAAACTCTCAGAGCCAAGCTAATTACCAGAAGTCTAATTCGAATTAAAGTATGCATCTGCTCAGCCGCCCAAACACCGTTTATTTAGCGTTTTAATTTCGCCATCCAGACTCCATTCAGCTCGACACCGGGAGACAACAGAGACGAGAGCGGCAGCAATATTACCATCACGGTGAAAAGTTGTCCCAAAACACATTTCCCATTAAAACGAGGCCACCCAAGGCGATGGCAGCTCATGTATAATTAGGTTTTATCTAGATGTGGACGGGCTTGCCAACACCATTGTTGAGCTGCAGTCCATTTACTTCCTGCTGGCCAGCAGCAGCTGCGTGTGTTAGTGTGGACCGCACAATGAAAACACCAGCGGGGGTTTAAGGCTCTACAGAGGCGACGGACGGCGGCAGGACGAGTACTCACATATACAGAGCTCCACCACGTAAGCGTAGTACGACCAGCAGACGACCAGCGCGATAAAAATCACAGGTATCCACGCTAAACCCCGTTGACAGCATCTCAGTACATGTGTGGGCGCCATCTTTCTCCCTCTACTGGGGAAAAGGGAGTGTCGATGTGTGACGTCACTGGTCTGAAAATATATATATCCTTTTTTTTGGGGGGGGGCTGACAAATTCAAGACACTCTTTATGCCCACTGAGGCTCAAACATTCATATAATGATGCAACATAACACTTTTTTTTCATTAATGTTTTTGTTGGTCAGATTTTAGGTGTAGTTTGCCACTTAAATGCAATTTGGAGATGTTTAAAATGTCATTGGATAATTTGAATATTTGTATGTTTGCAAATTCTACAATTTTGATTGAAAGCTGTACTTATTGTTTTGATTTTCATTGCATTTGTATCTAAAACATTTTTTCTGCAAAAAATGTTCTGTCAAAAAAGAAACTCATGATTTGAAAAACATTTTTTTCCACAAAGTTGCATTTTAATAAAAAAACATGAATAAAAAAAGCATTGAACCTTGTACTTGTCAAAACGACAGGCTGTGTATGGTTGTTGTATCCACATATGTTGTTTTATTATTTCTTGAAGCAGGAGCTGCCCTCAGGGCGGTGCTACTTGTCCTTTAAATTCACCAGGAAGCAATTATATTGTTACTGGAACCGTGGCCTCTACAGCCAGCTCACAGAGAAGTTGAGACTAAAAGTATTAGTTGTCTGTAATCCATACACACAAAAAAACAAAAACAGCGATCATGTCTTCCGTTGAGATGCACGTGGAGACATATTTGTCGCGCATCGGGTTTGCCGGCCCAATAGAGCCCAGCCTGGAGGTGCTGTGGTCGGTCCACACCAGTCACCTGATGTCGGTTCCGTTTGAAAACCTCACAGTGCACAGCGGCGGACGGATTCAACTAGACCCCCCTCTTCTGTACGATAAGATCGTGAAGCAGCGCCGCGGAGGTTTCTGCTGTGAGAATAACGGGCTCTTCTGCTGGCTGCTGGCCGAACTGGGCTTCCAGGTGACGCTGCTCTCGGGTCAGGTGAAAGGCACCACTGGCCGCTACGGCCCACCTTTCGACCATTTGGTCCTGATGGTGAGCCTCGACGGGCACCGCTGGCTGTGCGACGTCGGGTTCGGCACCGCGGGCTTTAGTGTCCCCCTTTCGCTGGAGACCAGCGGCCCCCAGGAGCAGGGCCACCGCGTGTACCGCATCAGGAGGGACACGGGGATGTGCTTTCTGGAGTGGCAACGGGAGGAGAACAAAGGGTCAGATGGAGACTGGACAGATATCTACAAGTTCAGCCTTGAACCTCGGCGTCTGGAGGACTTTGACGAGATGTGCCGGTACCACCAGAGCTCCCCTTGCTCCATCTTCTTCTGCAAGTCCCTCTGCACCGTTTTAAAACCGGGCGGGAGGCTCACCTACATCGGCCGCAAGCTGAGCAGCACCACATTTCTATCGGAAGAAGCCGGGGGAGTGCTGGAAACCACAACCAGGGACCTTGAAGATGAGGAGATACCTGGTGTTCTAGCAGAGATGTTTGGAGTTGTTCTAAATTCTCCACTCATACCAAAGGATGAGACAATCACACCACCGCCAGTCATGTATTGATAACGCTTTACACCTCCATAGGGCGAACGTATGTGAGAAATGTATCTTCTCATTGAGATGAATGCAACATTTTTAAAATAAAAGTTTGAAGAATTAAAAAAAAAAAAAAACATACAGCATTTTACAACACTTGCAACAAAAAAGATAAATTGTCAGTCTGATTTAATAAATTATACATACACTTTTAAGATGTACAATGGTCATTGCATTAATCCATATCCGTCTTTCTTTTTTCTTTTTTTTTTTAAAGACAAAGTCTGCGTTCAAAGTATTTACACATGTACAATTATCAGGCAGCACTTTACAAAGCAAGGCATGAATGACAATACAGATGTTGAGCTTCATATCAAACCTCTGACCCCCTCACCCTCCTGCCCACACCGTTTGTGTGAGGAATTACTCAGCTGTCCCATGATTATAATACATTTTCCCCATCCCACCGTTGATGGGCATGACAAGGAACACAAGAAATTGAACGACATTCATCAAAATCCACGGGAGATTCAAAAGAATAACGGTCCAAGGACTGAGTTGAAAATCAAAAAAGGGTGGGCTTATGAGCAGACGGGATGTACGCAGGGTAACTGGTGCAAAAATGTGGCAACGCGTGACACAAAACTCTACTCTGCGACGGGGTTGGGAGGTGGGATCGAGCTTGCTCTTGCAGCCTTCCGTTCGTAGTTGACAAGCCTCTGCCCAACCAGGTACCTGTAAAGAGATCACCACGACAAAAATAAGCGCTAAAAATTGTAAAGTACATGTCGATTTCTACAGACGGCTCTACGCTAATAGATCCTTACTTGTCGTTCTTGATGTGCTCATAAAGGCGTTTGAACTGTCGGATCTGGAAAGACAGGATGCCGATCAGCGAGACCACCATCAAGAGGAACGGGTAGATTCTCCTCTGCATTAGAATCTCCATCTCCGGGATAACTCCTGCAAAAGTAACGCACTTTTTATTATTTGTTTCTTACTTTGGGCTCTCCAGTTTTTGAGAAAAAAGAGCTTTTTGGTTTTAAATGTTGTTATTTTGTTGAATTGATTTCCATGTACGTAGGTACTCACCAACAGCGGGCACCACCCCGGCAGCGATCACGTATGGCACGCACAGGGACAGCAGCAGGACCGAGATGACCGGAGCCGCCAGCTTACGGATGATGAACTGGAGATCGATGTTGCGAATGCCGTTTGCGTAAACCTGAGGAGAAAGTTTACAGTCATTATACTCTACAGATAATCACAATGTAATTCTCGTATCCCTCTTCTTAAACAGAAAAGAGCGAGTCAGCTAAAAAAAAACAAAAAACAGCACCTATGGATGTGGGAGGGACCCACTGTCTGAGCAGAGTGAATTCATAGTCACATGGGAGCTTTAACTCAGGCTCTCCAAACTGAATTACAGACTAACCCTTCAACTGTATATTTACTGCATGCAAAGTCAACTATAGTGGAAAAGCAATTCATGTATTTGTTTCTTATCTTATCTAAAATCAATTTCTCATTTAGAGTAGGAGATAAAAGCTAAATATCCATTTCAGACCCACCTGCTCAATAACGGTCTTCAGCCACCACTGAGGGCCCATGAGAGTGATGGCAGCAATGATTTTGGCATGGAGCACTCCAAGAGCCCAGTCCTGTAGACAGCAGAGAAGTCAAGGGATGAACATGGGGGTGACAATAACAACACAATACCTACACAACAATGAACCACTAAAACCCCATACAGCCCAGAGCCCCAATCATACCTGCCAAGGGTAGAAGAGGGGTGTTTGGTCCAGGGGGACCCTGAGCGGGGCCACAATGACCAGTTCAAACAGCAGGCCCAGCAGCAGCGGGATGACTCCAGCGACCAGCAGAGCTACAACCAGGGTCTTCAGAATCTGCACAAACAAAGGAAGAAAATACGATGAACATAATCATAAACTTTCAACGCTTCAAACGATTAAATGAACAAGTAGTTTGAGTGGTATTCCCCTTTGATGGTACCACATTTCCTCCTCCATGGGACAAAACTACGGCAGTACAGGTTGGGATAGTACTACTATGCAGGTGCTGGCACATTTTGGCTATCGGCCCAATGATGTTGTAATAAGCAACCAACATTCAACAAAAACACTGCCTTAAGGCTCAACTGTAGACAATTTAATAGCTGGAAAGAGAACTTATTACAAAACCACTGTGCTGCCCAGTTTTGGTGTTTGCCTACAATGGCGGCTGCTCACAGAAACCCACCATGAGGGTCCACTCCTGGACTTTGCGTGCAATGACGGTGCGTCCCTGGGGCATCCAGGCCAGCAGCACGGTGACTCCGCGGATAGACAGCCAGCAGACATAGAGGCCGCACGCCGCTGTGTACAGCTCGTGGATTTTGGAGCTTCCTGTCCAGAAGGACATCAGCCAGCGCCCGGTGAACACTGAAATACAAAACATGACATCTCTTCAACGTCCCAGCTTGAGAGGGAACCTCAGGTCTGGTTTACAAAGAAGTGAACTTCAAAAAAAGAACCGCTTCAACAGCACAGTCATGCATATATATATATATATATATATATAGAGATTCACCCTTTAATTATGGTTTGGGTGCGAGTCTGCAAAGTAGAAAATAAATTGCTGGTTGTCTTTCATGCCACCACATCTTACCTGGTAGGGTTAGGCACAGCAGACTGGCCACCAGCAGAGTGAAGCACATGAACGCTATTAGCAGCACAATCTAAAGAAAAGATAGGGACAGTTTTAGAATACATGTGAAAGCAATGAAGTAACCAAGCTTAGTCATATCAGATTGTGCTTCTCCATTCTTTGTTTACACTGTGTAAATGTGTCAATGTTGTATTTTATAAACTACAATTGACAATCATAAGATAAAGGCCTTTAACATGAAGGAGGGCGAGTGTAATAACTGGGGGTTGTGTAACCTAAAATGTGCAGTAAGTGGTACCTTTGTGTGGGTCAATCAAACAAGTACAGTAACTATACTTAAAACAGTTACACAACATGCAATTCCCCAGAAACTGCAGTGATGAATGTTCAAAACCATGGGACCGTCTCACCCTGAATGGGAAGCGAAGGGGTCTGTGGTAAGGCTGGAATCCAACTGGTCCCCCTTGCTGCAGAATGGCCTGATGGGCTGCATGCAGCCCCTCGCCAACAGCAGGGGCAGGGTTGTTGTTGTTGTTGTGGTGACCAGGAGGAGGGTTGTTGTTGTTGTTGTTGTTGACAGGCTGGTTGGCGTCGTCCTCCTGCTCCCCGAGGAGGTAGGAGTGGAGGTCTCTGTGGAGGTAAAGACGGGTTTGGTTATAGACAGCCAGTCTAGAGGAAAATATCATGTATGATGACATATGTAGAAGTGTATTCAAATGTGTTGACCTACAGTAAATATCCAGCACTGACTGTCCAGGCCCTGACCAGGCCTTTGAGCCACTGGCGAGTGTGTCCCTGCTCCAATAGAGCTGGCAGCACAACCTGAAGTAATAATAGCTCCAAAGACAACTCGCTGACCGGGGCGTCACTGAGGGGAAAGAGGGGGGATGGGGTCAGAAAAACAGCCATTTAAACAGCGTGTGCAAGGACATGAACCACGTGGTCACATCGAAGAGTTGAGACATCTGTTCTCAACATTTACTCAAACAGGTAGTTCACTGCAGCTCAGTCGTAGTTTATCAGTCTTTCAAGTTGGCAATTTCCTCTTTTGTTCAAGATGTACGGGGAGATGTTGCGGCTATCTGGCCTCAGGAGGAAGTGGTTGCACACACACCATTTCACAGAGACAAGGCAGCAGCTTTCACACAGTTTATCGTTGAGTCATTGTGTTGTGCCTGCTGGTTACCTGTAGAGCATGACGTTGTAGGGGAGGAAGGTGGGCATCAGTAGTTTGATCAGCCTGACGGGCAGCCACAGCATGAGCAACACGATGGAGCCAAACACCACCACGGACAGGATGAACCGCCGCAGGTGTCTGTAGATGGGCAGGTGAATCATCTCCTGCACCGGGTTAAAATCGGGGTCATTGAGGTTTCTCAGAAACCACAGCACTCCCGGCCGCAGCACCTGATGGAACAAACAACAATAGAAGTTAGCGTTACATGTATTTAAAAAGTTCAACTTCGAGTCGAAGTGGACGTTTGGGCGAAAGATGAAGACATGTCCTCCAGCCGTTCTTGAGATATCGTGCTCACCACAATGGGACGGACGGATGGAGGTACAGACGTAACATAATGCCGCCGGCCATAGCTGTCGACAGCGGGGACGCATACAAATGAACCTACGCACAGTAAACTGACTGAGGAATGAACGGCAATCTCATCAGGATCTTACCTCTCTCAGGAGGAGGATGAAAGAAGCAAAGTAGAAGACGTAGACCATTCCCACAAGCCAGTGCAGGAACATGGTGGTACCAGGCGCCGACTTAAAACTCAACTCTCGGTCTTTCAGGGAGGCATCGAACATCTCCTGCAGGAAGGAACAGTGTTAAAGAAAGAGAGCATTTAGACCGGTTCAAAGATGATGCATCCTAATTACTTGTCTTTGACAAATGAATGCACTGTTCCCTCGATGATAAAATGTGCTATGAGTAACATTTGTGCATACCGTATGCTGAACAGATTAAAATTAGACTACGGTTAATTAGTTCCTGAGAGTATATGCAGGAAGAACGACTCCTCCACTGCTGCTCAAAAGGTAAATCCCATCCTCCATATTGGCATTGTTAACTTATGTAAGTGCTGTTGTGTCTATAAACCTTTAAATAGGAAGTCTATTTTAGATGTCCCATATGACGTACAACAAAACGGCTTTGTCATTTAAAGAAGCCCATTTTAAATTTGTGGGATGAACTGAAATTAGACAGAGTGCTTATTGCACACAGTGCAGGAAGGATGCGCTCCCCCCTTATGCTGTCCAAGCTGCTGCACCTGTTCCGGGCACGTTGATTGGCTCGGGACAGGCTCGTGAAAACGCACCCACTGGCTTACAAAGTGTAGCATAGGTGGGAGAGCTTTGGCGGCCACAGGAGGTGGAGGGGACTTGGGACTGGGCCACTTAGCGAAACTTGCTGACACAGAGACTTGTAGACAACAAGTTTAGAGCCACAACACAGAGGCATATGTGACTCTCTCCAACTGTCCAGGCCAGTGTGTTTTCTGTGTTAATAAAGGTATGAACTGTGTGACCATCCGGTTCTGTCTCTATATGTCATTATGAAATATGGTATATATGTATCTGTGACGATCAGCCAAGGATGAGAAATACAATTAATCTTCCTATGACCAAGTTACCAAGTCTTAACATTACATCAGTTTAAAGAATAATGTAACCAAGTGTGAGGGGGGGGGGGGCCCTTCCAAAAACAAGAATGACATAATTTAAGAGTGCAAGAGAGACTTACTAAAGAGCAGATATCAAGCCACCAGCCACAGATGAGTGGAAAAACACCGATCTCAACTACAACCAGCAGAGAGACCTGTAATGGAACCAGAGATGTGTCACAGTATCACTTTAGTTTACACCGTATGTGGGTTCATCAAAAACTTAAAATCTCTAAGAAAGGCTCTGAAATACAATCATGCGACACTTTTCTTCTCATTCAGTTTCAGGCACAGGCGTTACGTTCAGGTAGTAAATACTTCAGTCTCTATTTCCTCCAAGGACGAGGCGGACGTGAGTTACACAACGCAGGAATGCACTTAGGAGGCTTTACCTTGACAACGATGTAGCAGACTCCCAGGAGACGTCGGGAGCGCTGGAACCGGACCAGAGCAGCCAGTCCCTGAAGCAGCCATTAAGGATCACACATTTACACCCGCACAGACCCAGCAGAATACATTTCCCCGTCCTTGTAATGGAATTATGTTTGATTTAGTTTTTCACATTTAGACGGAAGGATACGTGACAGAGGATGAGCGACATCGCCAGCAGTATGTAGCCCACGATGGTGGTGATTAAGCCCTCAAAGTGAGAGGCTTGGACCTGAGGAACAGCACAAGGTTGAAGTCGAGCAATTAATCACAGTTCAAGAGACGCAATGTTGGGGAACAATGCTGCAATTTGATGAGAGCAGTTCCTTACATATTCCTCAAAGCCAAGACCCACAACGGAGAAGTGGCCGATGTGGTAGGGACAGAATGCTGAAAGACGAAAAGATGGAAGACGTTTTCTCATTGTGGCATATAAACTAGGAAAAAACAAATGCAACCAACCTGCACCATTGCTATAAATAAATAATATGTCATATTCTGTTTAATGTTAGCTTCGTTTTTTTGTTTGAGGCCTTAACGTGTTTGTCCTTCACTACATTTAATCATCAAATACATGAAATCAATCATTATGCGGATGATAAATCCTTGTTTTAGTCTGCAGTACTCACCAAAGACCAGGATGAAGAGTGTGTTGAGAGACACTACCCAAAAAACATGCTCCTACAAGACAAAAGGGTCCAAGTACAATTTTATTAAAAATGTATCATACATGAGTGTAAAAATCAAAACCGACAATTATGGGTGTAAAGACTTACCAAAAACACCAGTGAACCATCCAGGCCAAGCATCTGAAAAGGTGAAATGGAAAGATTCTAAGTACTTCATGATATATAACACAACTAACCAAAAACTTTGATAAGAATACATTGTGTACTAGGGATGGGGATGGGGGGGGGTCAGTAATGTCACGCAGAGTTACCCTTTCCCAGGTGAGCTCCTCCGCCGCTCTGTCCCACTCCAAAGCATTCCAATTCATGTCATCTACACAGAAACATATTCACGTTAAAGACGAGTAGGACATTCACAACCATAAGCAACTTAACAAGTACCGACATAAACATCCAATCCTAGATCAGTCACAATAGGTTGCATGTGCATCTTCCTGCTCGTCAGATATGGCCACGGCATTACAGTGCACCGTATGGCGACGGGGCAAATGTTAATGAGTTGGCTTTTAGCAACAACAAAAGAAAAAAAAAAAATTGTACTTAAGAACGCTGTTAGGATTAAATTATTAATGCTGTTCTGGGGACAATTTGTTTGCAAAACAACCTCTGCATTCATTTAGCAGCGGCGACGCCCCACAGCTAGAATAATGTTTAATACAATCACAATTCATTAACGACCTATTTTGCCAAGCCCGCTGCAAAATCAGTCCATTAACCACAGCGGGAAAAAAAACAAATAAGTGGGTTATGAGTGCTGGGGGTAACACTTCGACACATCGTTGTATCATTCTCAAATGAATTGTGTGCTCTAAAGGCAGTGGTAGTGTTTGTTCTAGCTTTTAACAGAGCATTTCCATAAACCCTGGAGTTGTCTGTTTGCTGTCTTCACTGGAGACAACACCTTTTGTAAACACTATGTTCATGATGTTCTGCTTGTCATGTGTGCATGAACTGCACCACGCCGTGATGTGAAGCAATGTAACTTAATATGGTAATGCATCACAGCACGTCTCCGTAAAATCGAACCAGGCAGAACATAATGTGAAATGTGACAGACAGACCGGCAGTGTGCCATTCTGGAACATAATCATTGTTTGTTTGTGCTGACGCGTGTCTGAAAATGAATGCTCTTTATGCAGTGAGGGAAACACTTCATACAGCGTAGCAACTCGCTCAGTACTGACCAAAAATACCACTACAAATGCTGGAAAAAAAAGATTTAACTGGAAACTCTGAGATTAGTTTACTTATCAAATTCAAACCTTGTGCTCCATTGTTGGGGTCGGCGTCTTCGGCGGCGGCTCCCTCCTCTTCCTCCAGCTCGGGGTCATCCCCCTGGTCCGGGGGGACATCGGGGGGCTCGGGCTCTGCGTCGTTCTGAGCTGGTGGATCAGCCGGGGCTGGCTGGGCTGCAGGGGGCTCGTCGGCTGCTCGCTGGCCTGCAGCTTGTGCCTGAGGTTGGGGGGGGGGGGGGATGCATGTTTTTGACATAGGGAGAGATGACAGTAAGGTTGATTTTGTGTATGCAAAGTAGGTATATGGTCTCTAAATTAGGCACACAGTAATACAAGACACACAAAGAACTCTTTACTGTAAATATCTTCATATGTTTGTTTAATGTTTGGCTTAAATCCTGACTAACGTGTACATTTGTTGGTGTCATTGCACAATTCTTCCTTTTATTGATTTAAAATAATAAGACTGTGGCCTCGTTGGCAAACCAGTCAAACAAAGTACCTCATTGGCTTGTCCGGCTGCATTGGGCGGTGCCGCCTGGTGCTGCTCCAACCAGTGAGGAGCTCCACCGTGGACTATTTGTTCTCGGAGCCACACCAGGCTGATAAAGGCGCACAGTGTGCAGGTGACCACGAAGCAGCCCTGTAGACAATCTGCAAGCAGGTTCTCTCTGCAGAAGCACAAAGATGAACACCTTTAATAAGTACGGGTTGTGGAAAAGAACAGAATAGACCGGTAAAGGAGACGAGCTTTAGCTTTAGTAGTGTGAGAACGCTGGTATCATCACTCACGTGGAGAGCATGTCCAGCGGCAGTGTCAAAAGTGAGCTCACAGAGCCGGTAAACAGACATTTGTAGATGCGACCTGAGCCAGAGATCAGATAAATAAAGTCATTTTTCGGTTTAAAAAAAAAAATGATGCTTTGTAACTATTTACACAACATGTGAGAATGAAATAGATCTAGCAGGTTGTTTTTTTTTTTTACATTGAGAACTGAGATGGATTTAAATATCTTGGAACATGCAAAGCACTGCCTGTTACGTAATGGTACTAAAGCTGTAATTCCCTTGATCGTGTTAAACCATGAACATGAGCTAATATGAGAAGCTTACAAACAATATAATGAACCTCTACTTTAAAACCTATGAACCAAACTGATCAGCTACAATCAGATAGACCTTTTTATACCACGTTGCTTTGTTGAATCAATTCTCAAGAAGAAGTAGATAAATTACATGTTTAAGATAATAAAACTGCGAAACAACTGACAAGAGCTGTAGGAAAAGGTCTAATCCATTATTAGGGAGATCACTGTGGCCTTTAGTACACATCCACTTTTTCTTACTTACATGCAGTGAGAGGAACCACCCCGAGCCATGCGAAGGCCACCAGTGTGTAATGGAACCAGTAGCGGATGGCCGTGCCCACACTGGTCAGCAGGCCGGCACAGATGTCCTGGATGGGCAGACGTGAGGGCATGTCCGGGGAGTAGACTGAAGAGGAACGAGTGAACCAGAGACATTTAAAATCATCTTTTATCTTTGATAATGCTTTAAATATTATTCAAAATTGTTCAAGTGTCACAAGGACTTACTTGGTGTGAACGCAAATCTGTGCTTGCATAATTCACAGTACTCCTTCCTGCTGTGCTTCAGCCACTGGACCAAACTGTGAAGCAGAGAGTCAAGAGTAGCATTCAGCAACGCAGAACGTGTTCTGCTTAAGAATGTTTTTAGTACATAGTTTTGCATTTCAAATCAACACGAATGGAGACCTAGTACAGAGCATATATCAATTAAAAGACCCACCTACAATTTCTTAACAGGTATTTAAAAAGGGAAATTTCAAACGATTTGATTTCAATAGATTGTATTGGTCCGACTTCATGCTGTCACTATAAAGAAATAACTCTGGTGTTGCAGATTCAAACCACTGTCTGGGGCGTTAACGTTGTGAGACGAAGACAAAAGGTTGATAGTGTTGACCCGACGTATTTTTTCCGTCAACTATGCTACGACTACAAAATGATATATGTGATGAAGTCGCATGCTCGGCTGTCATCAGGAACTCTGGAGCCAACAGACACGGACTGTGAGAACGTCTCATGTTTCAGTCACGGTCAAAACAAACAAAGAGGACGTTTCAGTTGTTTCTGAGATAAGTTGTGCGCGTATGTTGCCAGTAATTCAGTAATTACACCAACCCAGATCGTTGTGACATGTGCAAGACGTTGGGATTAACAACTTGGTTGTGTAAGGGAGTCATTACAACAGCTGATTCCAACACAGAACAGCATTTAGGCCTGTGTCATTAGACCTACACAGTACAGGGTTATACCTAGGTTTCAATTCATTGTTTCCTCTACCCCCCCTGTTGAAAAAAATCACTCGGTTTCCCCCCATGATAGAGAACAATTATTCCGTCCAATATGTTGTTCAGAAAACTTGTACTGAGATCAGAAATATAGGTCCACAACAGCTGGATTTTAGTTTAGAACCGGCAATAAGAAAACAAGGAAATGCGATAACCACAGCTAGAGTTAGCTGCAGCCTGCAAACACTCAGCACAACTACACAATCCAGAAACAATAGACTGTTACTCTGAACTGTGTGGGGTCGAACGTGAACTAATATGAATACAAACTGAGGTTCAACAGTTACCACAGAACAATCCAGGCCTGGCCTTTGCTTCAGCCTGGGGATTTCCATACACCTGACCACACAGGACAGATGAGAACACAGCGCAATCTCCAAAACACCTGCGGGCGGGGGGGGGGGGGGGGGGGGGGGGGTTGCCCCCTTTCAACCACACCAACCAAAAAACACACCCCCCC